TGTTGAGGGCTCTATAGTCAATTCACTGACGCAACGTCTCATCCTTCTTCTTCTGAAACAGCACTGGGGCTCCAAAGGGAGCTTTAGCTGGGTGAATGAACCCAGCATTTAATAACTCGTCTAGCTACTTCCGGAGTTCAGCTAACTCAGGTGGAGCCATCCGATAAGCATTCTTTGCTGGAGGTTTAGCTCTTGGAATGAGCTCGATCTCGTGGTCAGTCCCTCGTTGAGTGGTAATGTCTTCGGTAAACTATCTGGCATTATGTCAACATACTCTCTCATGACAGCTTGAATTTCGGGAGGGACATCTCTTGCCTCCACAGTCTGTTCGACCATCGAGATGGCCATGAAGGTGGGTTCTTCCCAATTGAGGCCTTTCTTTAACTTTAACGCTGATATCATCCATATACCACCAGGCTGTTTGATGCTAGTGGTAACCACAGTGGGATTATTACTAGTGACGATCATGCATTTGGTCAAAGACATCGGTATTACTTTATGCTCGATGAGGAACTTCATCCTCAGTACAACGTCGAAGTCGTCCATGCGAACCACTACGATGGTCGAACAGACTGTGGAGGCAAGAGATGTCCCCAATTTCATAAAGGTGGGTTCTAAAGGCTGTCGAACCACTGCCTTGTCCACATCCCCAATTTCAACGACACTCTTTTAGAAACTCCCACAATGGGTAGAGCTTCGGAATTGACAGCCTTCATCTTGCCTGTATCCTTCTCAATGGTCAATTCCAGTCGGCAGGCTTCCTACTCCGATATGAAATTGTGGGTTGCACTTGAATCCACCATGGTACTCTTGGCAGGTTTAGAGTTGATCGTAGCATCTACGAACATAAGCCCCTTTTCGGGCGTTCCTTTGGGTCGATTGACCCTCTTTTGAACGGCAGATAGGAATTTTAACGCCCCCATTCTGGGTGTTTCTTCGTCTTCTTCCTTCTTGCACTCTGTTTCAACTTCAGCTACCCTGTGAGGGCCCTTGCACAAGAAGCATGATATTGGCTTTTAAGTGTTTTGACTTTGTGGATAGGGTCCTCGAGAAGGACCGAAATTTGGGCCTTAGGGTCTCTTGTCAGCTCCCTCACTCTTTGGGGTAAAGGGTTTGAACGTCTTGTTTCCCCCAGTGGGGTTTAGAGTGTTCTTTTTTGGTTGGGACGGCTCACTGCTATAGTCTAGTAATCGTTCTGCAGCGGCCATGGCAGTGGTAAAGTCTTGCACTCTCTATTCATACAGCTTTGTTCTAGCCCATGGTTTCAACCCTTCGACAAAGACGAACACCTTGTCTTTCTCTGACATGTCACGAATATCCAGCATCACGGTAGAGAATTGTTTCACATAGTCCCGGATTGTTCCAGTGTGTCGGAGTTCACGTAGCTTCCTTCTAGCCATGAACTCGACATTGTCGGGGAAGAACTGACCCCTCAATTC